CTGGGTAGGAACTCCAGTACAAAGTTGCATAGAAGTGGTAAGTGCAGACATCCTTCCTTTACCTCTAGTCTTAGGGGGAAAGCATTCCATCTTTCACCATTATATATGATGTAAGCTATAGGACCAACCCCCCTACTCACAACACACACCCTTTATCAGCTTGAGGCAGTTCCCTTCAATTCCTAGTTTGTTGAGAGGTTTTATCATAGGTGTTGGATTTTATGGAATGCTTCTTCTACATATATTAAGATAATTATGTAGTTTTGTCTTTTATTATTATGGTTTTATTTCATAAATTGACTTTCAGTGTTGAACCAACCTTGCCTTCCAGGGGTAAATCCTATGTGGTTGTAGTGTATAAATCCTTTTTATTTACTGCTGGATTAGGTTTGCTAATACTTTGATAAAGACTTTTGCATTGTAATGAATGTTGGTCTGTACTTTTTGATCTTTGTCTGGCTTTGTCTAGCTTTGGTATCAGGCTTCATAGAATAATTTGGGAAGTGTTACGTCATTCATCTATGAAATGTTTATGTAGGACTGGTATTATGTCTTTGAATGTTTCATAGATTTCCCCAGTGAAGCCTTTTGGACCTGAGTTTTTCTTTCTGGGGAAAATTTTAACTACTCATTCAATATTTTTTATTTGCTTATAGGTCTTTGCAGATTTTCTGTTTCTTCTTGAGTTAGTTTTGGTAATTTTTGTCTTCCTATGAATTTGTCCATTTCGTCTGTTATATTAATTTGCATAAAGCTGTTTATAGTATTCTCTTACAATCCTTTTATTTTCTCTAGCATGATTGGTGATGTCATTGTTTCATTCCTGATTTTAGTAATTAGTATCTTCTCTGTTTTTTCTTATTTTTTCTTGTTTTATTTAGTTTTAATTTGGGGGCAGTCTAGCTAAGGGTTTATCAGTAAGATTTTTGGTCTCATTCATTTTCTCTGTTCTTTTTCTATTTTCTATTTCATTGAATTCTGCTCTGATCGTTTTTTGGTTTTGGTTGAATTTTCTCTTCTTTCTTGAGTTTCTTAAGGTGGAAGCTTAAATTATTGATTTGAGACCTTTCTTTTATTCTAATATAGATGTGTAAATTGAGTTTCCCTCTAAGCTATGCTTTATATACATCCCATAAATGTTGATTTCTTGTAGGTTTTTTTCCTTTTAGTTCAAAATATATTCTAATTTCCCATGGGACTTCTTTGTGAATCCAAATATTTGAGTATTTCCAAAAATTTCTCTCTGTTTTTGATTCCTAATTTATTTCTGCTGTGATCAGAGAACATTTTGAATGATTTTTCAATCCTTTCAAATTAATTGAGATTTGTTATATTGGTTGGCATATGATTAATATGGAGAATTTCCATGTGTACCTGAAAAGAATGTGTATTCTTTTGATGTTAGGTGCAGAGTTTTATAAATGTCAAGTTTTGATGGTATTATTCAAGTTTTCTGTATCCTTGCTGATTTTCTCTCTAGTTTTTCCTTGAATTATTGATTCAAGGAAAATCTATTGAGAGAGGAATATTGAAATCTCCAACTATAATTGTTGAATTATCTAGTTCTCCTTTCAATTCTGTCATTTTTATTTTAGTATTTTGGGTGCTCTTTTGTTCATTGCATTTACATTTCTAACTGTTAAATCTTCCAGATGAATTGACCCTTTTATCATTATGAAGTGTTTTTTTTGTCTGTAGTGATATTTATTATTGTAAAGTCAATTTTGTCTGATATTGATATAGATACACCAGCTGTCTTATAGTTAACTCTTTGCGTGGTATATCTTTTTCTCTCTTACTTTCAACCTCTTTATTTCTTTAAATCTAAAGTGTGGCTCTTGTAGACAGCATATAATTGGACCTTGCTTTTTTATCCAGTCTGATAATTTCTGCATTTTGATCTGAGTTTATTCCATTTACATTTAATGTTATTATTGATATAGTTGGATTTACCATGTAATCTTCCATTGTGCTGTTTGTTTTATATTTGTCTTATAGTTTTTGTTGTTATTGTTATTCCTTTCTTCTTTTATGTTAAAAATTATTTATAGAATCCAATTTTAATGTCTTTGATTTTTTAACTAAATTTTTTAAAGATATTTTTCTTAATAGTTAATTTAGGGGTTATAATATGCATTTTATCTCATCACAATCTATTTCAGGATGGTATTGAGTTAATTCTAGTAAAATATAGCTACTTTGATCCAATATAGCTCCATTTCTTCTCTGACTTTGTGTTAGTATTTTCCCACATATCACATATATATTTTTATAAACACAGCAATGCAGTGTTATAATTATTGTTTCATACAATTTTAAGTCCTTTACAGAAATTAAGAGAAGAAAGCAGAAAAATGTGTATTTATACAGTCTTTTACTTATATATTGCCATTTATAATATTCTTCATTTCTTCCTGGCAGTTTGAGTGTTGTCTAATGTCATTTCCTTTCAGCCTGCAGGACTTGCTTAAGTATTTCTGCTTGCAAGAAATATCCTCAGTTGTTGTTTATTTGGGAATGTCTTTATTTCATCTTTGTTTTCGAATAGTGTTCCCAGAGAGAGAATTGTTGTGAAGAGGTTTGTTTCTTTTTTCTTTTAGCACTTTGAATATATCATTCAACTGCTTTCTGGTCTCTTATTTCTCTTAGGAAGTTATCATTAATTGTATGCTTTTTCTCTGTACATTAGTCATTTTTCTCTTGCTTCTTTCAAGATTTTCTCTTTTTCTTTCAACAGCTTGAATATGGTACATCTAGGTATGGATCTTGTTGGGTTTATTCTACTTGGCATTGGTTGAACTTCTTGGATTTGCAGATTAATGTTTTTCATCAAATTGGGACATTTTCAGCCATTATTTCTTCAAATATTTTTTCTTTGCCCTTTGTCTCTCTCATCTACTTCTAGGATTCCCATTACATGTTTGTTGGTACCCTTGATATCCCACAGGTTTCTGAGGCTCCATTTATTTTTCTCCTATCTTTTGTTCTCTATATTCTTCAGACTAGATGATTTCTGTTGATCTATCTTCATGTTCACCAGTTCAATCTTTTGCCCTCCTCAAATCTGCTGTGGGGAGTAAGGTTTTAAGTTTTAGTTATTATACTTTGCAAGTCTGTAATTTTTCCATTTTAAATACTTTCTCCTTTTATATTGAGATTCTCTTTGTTATATAATTGCTATTATATTTTCCTTTAATTCTTTAAACACAATTTCCTTGTACAATTTTGATATACTTATAATAGCTGTTTTCAAGTCTTTCTTCTGCTAAATCCTATATCTGGGCCCATTCAGGGACATTTTCTATTGAGTGCCTTTTCTCTTCATTATGGATTACATAATGTTTTTGTTAAAAAATGGACTTTTTAAAATAATATTTTTGTAGCAGCTCTGGATTCTAATTTTTTTCTTCCCTGAAGGTTGTTTTTATTATGTTTTGTTTTGTTATAATAACTTCCTTGGCCTTAATCTATGAACTGTATCCCCCATGGTTCTTGCTGCTGATTTCTCTGCTGGGAATGATCCTGTGTCTACATAGCTTAGGTGTTATTCAGTGATTGATCAGAGGTTGTGATCAAACACTTCAAGCCAGTCTGGGCTGATGGAACTGTTTGTGGGTTGGGGAGCACATTCAATGTTTGGGCAGTTTTCAGGTTTAACTTTCCACTGGGTCCTCTTGGGTCTCCCTATAGGAATAGCTTCCTAGTCAGCCAGGAATATGTGAAGAGCTTATCTAGGCCCTCTCTGCCTCTCTTATTTCCATTTTCTGAGTTAAATTTCTTGCTAGACTACCAGTCTGCGGCTCACCCCTGCCAAGGCCACAACTTTAGACTAGCAAAGCAGAACACTTTTCCCTGTTCATTTCCTACAGTTTGCTTTTTTTGTTGACAGCATCAATTGTGTGGGGGTTTTTGGCCTCCTCTCCAAATCAAGTCAGCCCTTTCTGTCAGCAAAGCTGCTGGTTGTCATGACCAGCCCCACCCTGATAGAAATACTGCACTGACAGAGCTGGGGGTGGGGGGGCAATAGGAGCCGTACCAAGCAAGAACACCACAGACTCCTACTCCTCTTATGCAAAGTTCAGCATTTTTTAAATAAATGCTTCTCAATTTGTTATTTGTAATTGCTAGATTTGTACAGCCATGAAATTGTTGTTTTTGACAATTTTGTCCAGCTTCTTAGTTATTTCTTGGGAAGAAGATTTGCTGACTTACTCATTCTCCCATCACCGGAAGTCATGTCTCACCTGGTAGCTTTTAAAATGGCAAGTTCACTTGCTGAAGTTCCACTTAAGGCACCATTCTATAGATCCTTTCTACCGTTTTGGTACAGATTTTGGGTCTCTGGGATTCCGAGCAGTCTGTTCACTATGCCATCCAGTCTGCCCACCTTGCTATACAATCTGTCATCTAATCCTGTTTGATGGAAGGAATTTTACACTTCAACAGTGATTGCCAGTAACTTTTTTGTGTAGTCCCCCTTTTGAAAACCATGTAAGTGGCATCTGATACTGTTTGTAATGCTGAATTTAAGTGAAGTTTATAAATAACTTATTCTGTGATTCTCCTTTGTAAATGAAGATATGTATAGTATTGTATTTTGTCTCTTCCATAATACACAATGTTTAAATGGTTAACATTTGTGCTGCAGTATAGCTTTCTGGCTCATGAAAAATGAAAGCTATCAGCGATCTGGGCAATAAGATTCATCGCCAATAGTCACTAGCAACAGCACACAGCATTTTAATATCAGTGAGGTCCGCAGCTAGCAGTAAGAGCTGGTGTAATTGAAAGACGTTTAGGTGCAATCATTCTGCTGTTTGTTCCTTGCCAGGTTCAACATGGGATTGTGTGAGTATTTGAAGAAAACAGCAATTTTTTTTATGTCTTTGAAAGATGTAAAAAGGGTAAATATGTGGTTAAATTTAAGAAATGTGGTAATTTTAAAAATCATGTGGCTCTAAAATAAAAAGGTATTTTATTTGTCTTGGTTGATTAAAGATTTAGAAAAGATACTCCTTGGTTACAAGTGAACCGATAATTCTGGTCTAATGTTGCCGTGGTAACAACTCATGCTGATATAATTGAGAACATCTTATACATCCTGGTTCGAACATTTTCTCCCTGCCATTTTGAGTTGTTCTAGTGGTATTTGAAGGAAGCTACGATAACTAGATTGAAAGAAATTAAATCTAGTTATACACATCTTTGGCATTAATCTGATGTTTACGAGTGATATCTTATGCTGGGCAGTTATGCTTTGCTTCTAGGGGCTTTTCTTTTTAAAACAAAAGAAAGCTCTTTTCATTTTCTGTGTGCTGCATGTTCCAGTGTGTGTGTTTACACCCTCGGTTCTTCTACCTCTAGAGATTAGCATAACTCCCTTTGCTGTTGGATTGTTGTTTTGAGCAATATGTTTTGGAAAGGTTGGTTTTCATCATGAGTGGTAAGTATGCTCTTTGAGACTCTGCAGCTATATATTTTTTTTAAATATTTAACTATAAGAGAAAAAAATATTTTTTAAAGGGGCAGTTGTAAAGCCAAAGCTAAAGTGAATTACATTTTCTGTTGATGCTTTTGCATTTAGGCATTATAGTAATTTGCTTTTAAAATCCATTAAGAACTGTGAATAATACCACTATTAATAGTGAATACCAATAATCAGTTTCTAATTTTCTCTGTGGATTGATTTATTGTATTCATTAAATACTATTCTTATTAATTGTGTTATAACTTAGTGTGTAAAAGACCCACCATGATAAGAGAGGAGTTTTTTAGTATCTGATCCTAAAAATAATTAAAATCTCCTTTTATTGGCTTTGTCATTTTAATATTAATTGTTGTTTGTTAGCTTCTCTTTGATTATATAAAAAAATACTAATCTTGAATAAGATGCTGCCAAAATTTTGTTGATTTATTCGTTGCTTTTAACTACAATTCATTGAGAAATAGGGATTCAATGATGAAATAAATATGTGCATTTTGGTTTTGGAGGCTTTGCTAAAATTTCCAGGAAGAATTTATTTTGGGAAATAATTTGTTAGAGTAAGTACTTTTGTGATAATTAGTTTCCTTTTTTGTTTTTATAATATGATTGTGTAACAATATTTTTTTCTAAACATTTCCAAAAATATTTTTTGAGAAAATGTACTACAGTATGTACTGCAGTTTATCATAGGGTAAAAGCTGTTCACTTTAAGCCAAACCTGCAGCTAAAAATAGATATCCTGTTGTTAGAGTGAGAAATATTTGCTTCGAGCATAATTCATTAGCATCTTTTTACTTAACTAAAAGAAGATGTTTATAAGCTAACCTTTGAATCAGATACATTTTTAGGAGAAGTGTTATATGGTTTTTCTTACAACATAAAAGTCTATTATAATTTACACTTAAAAGATTGGAATTGGAATTCAGAACCAGAGAGAGTTGGATTTTTACTATATAATGATAGAATTCAAAATAGGTGAAGCTTTATTCTATAACTGGGTATCACCTCATTATTGCCAATAAATATTTTTTATCCTGCCATATAACATAAACCTCTTCAACACTGTTAGATATTTGTTTATAGGATGATATTAGAGATTAAAAGAACATTTTTACATGTAAAATATTAAGAATCATTATTGTTATTTTCCTGTTAGTAGATAGATCTTTCTGATCTAGTGGTTTAAATTTGGGCTAATATTACAAAATGAACATGTTAACATTCCTTAGGTTTTTGTGGATATCAAAACTGAATATACCTGGTTATTATACTTAAAATGTTAGATTTCTTTGAATCTAGCCAAAGTGTGTTTTCTCTTTGAAAGTTTGGTATATAACAGCATCTTTAGGTAACCACTGTGGTATTCTAGAGGTTTTACAATTGTATGTGTTGGTTTTAACCGAAGAAAATTGTTGCTGCTTCTCTATTGCTTTATTTTTCTTTCAAGAAAGCTATGGATTATTCAGATGGTATTTGATGTGTTTGATCATATTAGCCTGCCCTTATAGCCTTTTCTACCACAGGAATCGTAGTAATCACTAGACATTCTGACTTTTTCAGGATTGTCCAATTTCAACTAATTTTACTCATGTCATAAGTGTTTGCCTTAGCCATTTCAAAATGTGGAAAATTACAAGTGAAGTGTGATTTTATTTGTAAAAATAAGCAAATGGTAGATCTTTTTTCCTAAGTCTATAGCTATACATGTGATATTTATGTGTATGTGGTACTTCTCTAGTTAAAAAGCTATTCATTTTCTCCTTTCTACCTATTAAATGTGAGTTTTCTCTGGGAATCTATCTTTGACCCTCTTTTAGTGCAACATTCTCTCTGAGTGATCTCATCCATGCCTACATCTTCAGTTGTTACCTGAACATTCAAAAGAGAATTTTCTCTCTCCATTCCAAATCTGCTCCTTTTTAATTGATTCTGATTTCTGTTAATGATCCCACTGCCTGTACAGGAACTTAAAACAGAAACCTTGTAGTCAGTCCTAACTTGGTTTTTTACCCCCAAGACATGCACTCAGTCATTAATTTCTATGGATTCTACGTCAGAAATGTCTCAGAAATCACTCAATTTTCTCCGGTCTCACTGACACTGGGAATGCTTTTAGACCAGGCATTCTATGTCTTCTCAACCCTAGTGCAGTAACTACTTCACTGGTCTCTCAGCTTCCAGTTTTATATTCCTCCAGGCCATTTTCCATGCTACCATTTAAAAATGCAAATATGCCCATTTCTTAACCCAGCATGGAAACTTTTAGATACTCCTTGTTGTCTCTAAGGTAAAGGTTAAACTCCTTAGTAGGGATACAAGATCAGTGACCTACCTTTCTGGCTTTATTTGCATCTCTCATAAAATTCTTATTTAGCCATACTATACTACATAATATTCCTTGCTACCTTTTCATAATTACATCTTTTATTATAAAAATTCTGAAAACCAACTATGCTTTTCAGTGCCTCTATCACTGACTCTTTAGAGTTAGATGATTCCTCTCACCCCCATACTCACAAAGCAAACTTGTAAACTATAACAATTATTTACATTATATTGATATTATATATTTGCATGTTGGTTTTCAATCTCCAAACTTTGAATTCCTTAAGTCGAGGATAGTGCCGTGTTCGTCTGTGTATTTCCAATAGTTACCCCAGTGCCCCAAACATAGTAATGAACTCTTAAATTCTTGTAGAATAAATGAATGGCTAAAAATTATCCACTTTTTACATATTTGAACACTTTTCTTACATTATCAATGAAAAATAACAGTCGCCTATTTTTTTTTGGTTCATTTGCTTATTGGAACATAACCAGCATCATTATATCAAAATCCCAGATGAGAACTCTGATTGGCCTAGCTGTAGCTGAAGGGAAATCTTCAAAGACGAAGGCATTAACCTGCTGTGAATTACAGGAAAGTTACAGACTTGAGCACAAGCATTTAATTAATTCCCCTTTCTAGATCTATATTTTCTAGATTGAAAATATAAGAACACAAAACTGGAAAAACGGTGTATCAGTCTTGGAATTAAAGAAGGGTACTTACACCCACAAATATACAGTATCAAATTGAAAATCAGACAGCAAAATTTAACTAAAGGTTTTACTTTGAGTAGCTTGTCTTTATGGAAAAGAAACAGGAGTTTCACCTTCACTAACGTGGAAGGATGAGGCTTATAAGAAAAACTGTGGGGGAGATGAGTAGAAGATCCAACACTGCTGGTTACTTTCATTTTAATACAGTTACAGTGGGACAACCAAGAATTTGTTAGGCTATTCCAAGTTGAAAAAGTGGCTTTTCTTCTTCCAGATGTGACGGGGCTCTTCCCTGAAGTGGTGGGCATCACCACCAGCAAGAAACCTTATAGTCCTGGCTCTATTCCTGTCTGAAAGTCACTAGGTTATTTAACTGATAATGTAAATGTGTGTCAACTAAAAGATCTGAGAAATTGATTCTAACACACCCAAGTAGGATGTGAGAGGATCCACTTTATTTGGGGGCATTTGTAAAGTTTTGAAAGGCTTCTCGTTGTTCATGAATGAATAAACAAGAAAAGCAACAACATGGAGCCTATAAAAGAGAAGATTAAAAGATAAAATCACAGCCTTCAAGAGGAAGACAGTGAACTTTTGATAGAAAATATTTGGGGGGATAAAAATAAGATATTATAGATAGTATTTGTGTTGAATTCCTAAAAATTTCAAGTGAACATTGAATCTGTGAAATAAAACATGAAAAATAAGAAGATAAAACAAGAGGCTAGGATGAAAAGAGAACTGACTGAGAAGCAGGAATAGAAAAGAAGAGCAATAGTGACATGATAAGGGAAGGTTATAAGAAAATGAACCTGGCATTTGCAGAATATAAAGCTGCATTAGAAGCGTTAAAGAGCAAAATAATCACTACAGGAAAATAAATTAATGGTGTGAAAACTAGCTTGATAAAGCCTACCAGAATGTAGGGGGAATGGACAGGATAAAAATTATGAGGTGAAAACTATGTTAGATGAGAGTAGGAGACTCTACAAATTGAATGAATAGTACTCCTTCAAAACGGATAATGACTAATAGAACAGAAGCAATAATAAAAAACATGATTCAGAAAAACTAGTTAGTTGAAGAAAACCTGAATCTACAGATTGAAAGAGCTCAAAGAGCTCATTGTATTTTGACAAAGATTAACAAAAACACCAACACTTAAATATATCTGATGGAAGTTTTGATTCAAGGATAAAAAATGAATTCCACAAACATCTAGGTCTCTTTGCATCTTACAATTTAACACGGAGCTTGTCTTTTAAAGAAAAAAAATCCAAAAATTGGAGATTAGATAATTTGAAAATTCTTCTAAAGCAAAAATTACTGAAGATACAACAGCACCTAGAAATGCTGAATAAAATATAACAAGCATCCCTTTAAATGAATAGCTAAACTTACAAGAATAGAAATCCTCAGTGTGCAAAAGGTGAAGTGGTAAATGAAAACCAGGCTTGTAAAGGGGAGCATATTTTGACTACCCTGAGGAGACATTCATACCTCAGTAACCAAAGGGCTTTCGTTTTAAGTGGCCTCACAGAGACAAAAAACAAGGTCTTTGATCCATAAACTTGGGATTTCTTAGACTCCTAAATAAAGCCTGAATCCTCAAAGGATTGTAGCCTCAGTGAAAGCATAGATTAGAAAATAAAACCTCTCCACTGACAGAGGGAGAAAATAAGGAAGCTTGTATTTCTTGGCTTAGGTTCCTGGGGACGGGGGAGGTGTGTGTGCGCATGTGTGTGGGATGCCTCTCCTGAGAATTTGTAATCAACTGCTTCTCCTCCAGTAGATTTCAGGGTTTAATCTGTATTAACTGTGTCGTCTACGAATGGCCAATAAAATAAAATACATTATTGTTAACAGTCCCAGGCTAAGTAACATCCACTGGATGCCAGACAGAAGCTAATACAAAACATATCCTCAAGTTAAGCCCTGTAGGTTTCTCACAGATAAAGCCCCACTGAACTTTGAGTTCACAATCCAAAATCAAAATAGATACATACACACACACAAACAAATCTACTATAAATGATATTCAGCAGGTACAATAGAATTAGACCCTCCAAAGAATGTCGGAGAGTAGAATTGTCACATACAGGCTACCATTTTAAATTAATAATCATGTTAAAAAATATATGAAATAAGAGAAAAAAGTTGTATGCACCTCTAAAATAGCCTCAAAATATCTAAAACAAAATTGACCCAATTATAAGGAGAAGTTGTAAATACATAAGATTTATAGATATATAGAGAGAATCCTAGTAATTGAAGAGTACACAAATATATGGAACAGTTAGAAAATTGATTTTACAACTAAACATATTCAAAATATTTTGAAGAATTGATATATATGCCGTGGTCTCTGACCACAAAGCAATTAAGTTTAATCAATAATAAAAGACTAATTAAACAAATGAACACACACAGATGTTATGTTTGGGGATGTAAAAAATTCAGATAACTCTCAGGTCAAGAATTGGGTCATAATATAAATTTAAAATTCAACTGTGCATCAAGACTTGTGGGATGCAGCTAAAGTAGATTTAGAGACATATTTTTAAATGCTTATATTAGGAAAGGAGAAAGACATTAAGTAAACAAGTTAGAAAAAGCACAGCATGGTTAATCAAAAGAAGAAAAACTAATAAAGACATGAGCAAAAATCAGTGGAATAGAAAGTAAAGACACAACAGAGCCAAAGGTTAGTTCATGGAAAAGACTTAAAAGAACTGATTAGAACTGTACCTATTTGAGATTTAATCATAGTTAAAATCTTTATTCAAAACTTAACAAAATTAGGACTGGACAGTTTTACAGTCAAGTTTTAAGAAATACTCAAAAAACAAAAATTTATGTCTTGTACAAAATCTTCCAAAGAACTGAAAAGGAGGAGATATTCTTAAATTAATTTACTAAGTCTAGTGTAGCTTTGCAAGTAAAGTATGGGAAAAGAAAATTAGTTAGAAACATTTTCTCTAAAGTTAAGAACAGGAAAAGGGTGCTTATTATCTGTTTCTGTACAATATTGCACTGTTAATCATAATCTGTACAGTAAGACAAGAAAAAGATGGAGGGGACAAAATTGTCATCATTCACAGTTGATATGTGATTGCCTTCATAGAAAATTCAAGAGACTCTACCAATGTCATTTTAGAATTAATAAGAGAGTCTGGCAAGATTGCCAGGTAAAATCAATACGTAAACATGAACTATGTGCTATACATTAGCAATGGATAGTAATTTTTAAAATTATCCCCTTTACAACAGCAACCAAAGTTCTAAAGAACCTAGGAATAAATCTAATAAAAGAGTGATTAAAGACGTTTAGGGGAAAAAATTATAAAATTCTGAGATATATTTACCTAATTCTTAACAAGAAGATATGATTTCATACCCATTAGAAAGTCTAATAGTAACATATTTTGTTGAGGATAAGGATCATCAGGGATATAGTACCAGTATAAATTGGCACAACCATTTATTGAGCCACTTACTACTATCTAGTTAAGTTGAAAATGTTCGTATCCTGTCATCTAGGGATCCACTCCTAGCTCTACACTGTCTGCTAATAGGACAGAATATTTGAATTCAGAATCAAATGGAAAATCTTTAGCATGGGATTGTGGTAGATATAATATTCCTCCAAGAACAGGTCTCAGTGAACAATTAAGGAGGTAAAGTGCATTTCAAAGATTCCCTGGGTCATTAGTTTTATGACTATAAATTTAGTTTAAGTTTTTATTACAAAATCCTATAGGGAACATCTCCAGTCAAACATGGCTTGGATGGCCTAGAAAATCCACGGCATCCCTAGATAGAGAGCAAGTTGGGAGAGAAAGCATGTACATGTGATTAGTTGTGAATGAGCGCTATGTGGATTCATAGTGTATCCATCTGTTCATGTAGATACTAGTAAAATAATTAATGTATGTATTTCTATTATTTGATCATTTAAATATATGTCTCACCAAAAGTGTTTTTTTAACAGTTTAGTGAAACAGTCAATTATACTGTTCACTTGTAACCAAGACTTGACAAAGAATTAACTATTAAGAAAGCGTAAGGAGAGGAAAGAAGAGTAAAATAAATATCGCAATAGGAAATGTGGCTTTTATGGCCTATTATATTTCCAAACATTCATTCATGTGTGACTTTGTGCAAGTCTGATACCTTAGAAAATAAAAGTAGACATGGTCTCATCCACTCTACTGCTCAGATACAATTGCAGTAATTAAAGGTTTTTTAAATACCCACTATCATTTTTAAAGTTAAAGTGAATTTGCTTTGAATGAACATGCTTGAATATGGTGAAGCAGATAATGTGTCTGTTCAGCAAAGTGAACACAATTGCTCCCCAGATTAAAAGGATAAAGTATGATATTTCACTAACGCTATTCCAGAGTAGGGTTTTGGTTGATTAAAAAAGTATACATATCCAAAGAATTTGTTATAATCCTTATATAAAACACTGTTGAATATGTATGCTCAAGTATTTTTCATTCTGTTTCTATGTGTAAATATACTAATGAACATATATGGATGGGTAACTTATTGCGAGTATGTTATTTTATGTTGTTTAATCTGTTTATTCTTTTTGATCAAGCACGCAAATCATCAGAAGCATCTGGTAGGAAACCACTTTTTACAGAATAATTCTGTTGCTTTGTTACTATAAATTGGATTTTATGAGTTATTTTGTGGCAACTAGAATGTTTTATATTTAGTTTATCGAGAATATTTGTAGTAGAATGTGTGTGTTGGGTGATATTCTTAGAAAAAGCGAACATAGAGCTCTAAAGAGGTGAGTGTTTAAAGTAGGGGTGACAGAGGACAGACTATTACACTCTACTAGATTTATACTTCCCAGAAGTTTTGGAAGGGATTGTACTGTTCTCTCATATTTGTTGGTAGAACTTGGTGTTTTCATAGGTATTTTACCCCAGTTTTCATCCTGTTTTGTGCTTTCTGATACACGCTAAATAACTCTTAAATACAATAATTTCTTTATTAAGGTAAAGAAGGAAGATAAAAAAGTTTAACTACAAAGAGGTTAGGGGGCCCATGAATTATAATCTGTTCAGTAAAAAAATTTTAAACTATTATTACCAAAAAAGATACTATTAAGAAACATATAATTTCTTATAGGACCTAATACTTGCTCTTTCCCTAATAGAAAATTTTAGAGGAATAGCCCCTCTCTTATACCCTACATAGATAGTTATCAAGGTTTAAAATACTCAAGCCTCTAATCCCCACCCATATCTCTCTTTACTCCATCTGGCTCCCCTCTTCCTTAGCAAGTGATCTTGCTTCCTATTTCCCAGAAGAAATAGAGTCTAGCAATTGTGAATAACTCAGTTTACTCCTGTTCCTTCCCACACAAGGAAAAGCATCACCATGGCAAACAATTACCTCCATGATTGAGTACCTTCTTGCTGATACACGTCACCACCCACTGCTGCTGTACACTTCTACCTTTTGCTGCAGCAATCACAAGTCACTTACCATTTCCTGGATAAACAATGCTCATGCCTTTTATACAAGATCATCCCAGCCCAGAATGTCTTCTTCCTGAACTTCATCTGCCAGAGGAACTCTTTATTTTTCAAGATTCAGCTCAAATGCTGTGTCCTCTATTATAAATAGCCTTACCTTACTACCCAAGAATTTTCTCTTTCAAGCTCGTTTGGCACCTTATAATTTCCTTAGTTGTAGTCCTTATCTCATTCTGTTGTAATGGTTCACCTCTCTCCCCATTAGCTTCTCATCTCCTTATAGTGGAGATATGTTTATTCTTTGTATGTTCCCAGAGTCTAGCTCAGTTTCTGGCACCACTAAACAGTACTCAATAAATGTTGTTGAAAAGATTGTTAAACCAGCACCAAGGAAGTAAAATGCCTGAAAGATTTACTAGTGTCTTTCAGAAGGGAGTTAACAAAGTGCTATAATTCAAATTGTCTTTCCTATAGTAGAGTTTCAAATAAATAACAGAAGTACAGAAATGGTATTACAATAATTATAGGATATGTATTTCAATATATGCTACTTAATATTATTAGCACTATTGCTATGAGGAGTTAAAATTTTTCTTAGTTGTTTTAATGAGAATTAGAATGGTACTGATTTGGGCACTAAACAATAATTATTGATTTTATTTCTTTACCATTTAACTTTAAAATGTTCTGTTTGAATATGTGCAGTCAGATTATTGAGTTTCTGCATTAATATTTTATTTCTGTACATAATATTCTAAGAAAATGTGTATAGGTGATTTCATGCTAATATGTTGTTTTTATGAGTGTCATTTAATCATTGTTTAATTTATTTTTTGGATACAAGCTTGCTCCTCTTCAGAAGTATCTGGTAGGCAACTACTTTTTAATAAAACAAATGTTACCTTTAAGACTTTTTATTCAGTTGTTTGCAAGTTGTTCTGCTCCCCAGAAATTTATATTTTTATAAAGTATGCTGAGTTAATAAAATATTTTAGTTGATGGAGAAAATGGCTTGTTGAGTTTTATCTATAGAAATGATGTATATTACAGTTCCTTGTGTGATATTTTAGAGACAACAAATATAGCACTGTGAAGTAGTAGGAGGTGTACAGGGTAGCAGAAGACAGGTTACTACACCCCACTTAACTTAGATAACCCTGGTTAATCATTGGTTTTTGAAAGAAAATATACTGTTGTAAATTTTGAATAAAACAGCTAATATTTTAATTGGGTATTTTCCCTAGGAAGTTTATATTCTATTTTGTTTCATTTTCTGTTTGTTTCTTGTCTATTTTTCTGACATTCATTAAATAAAAGTTAAGTAAAGTTGTGCTTTTATTGTAAAAGAGGTATAAAAGAGGGAGGTGACATCTCATTGCACAGAGGCTGGATAACTCAACATCTGGAGTAGTTGTAATCTATATATGAATAGATTTCTAAACTCTTCTTACAAAACATGAATGATGACCTCTTTTAAGCAATGGATAATGGCATACTATAACTAACAACATGCTCTTTTTATAATAAACAGTAATCTAGTTTACCTAACACAAAACCCAAAAATGCCTAATAAATAAATTTACTAAACGTAGTTAGTGAAATGTTATTTATTATAGAATTACCTGAATAACATGGAATAAAGATATGCCATACTTGAATTTTTAATAAATTTTCCTACTGTTTAAAATGAACTTTGTAATCCAATTTTTAAACTATGTCCTGTGGATAAACATATTCAAAAATATTTTGAGAGTGATAAGAATTGTTTCTTTACGTACTTGTGGAAATGCATAAAAATTGTCACTTTATTTCTTCTTTCTTCATCTTATAAATGTGGATAAACATTCCTACAAACCAATCCTGGGTGAACATATAAATTCTTTTGGTATGCTCATTTCTTTAGAATGCACCGTGATTAGACTCCTTAAATGATACCAACTGAAGAGAAAATAAATTTATTTGGAAAATAAATATAATTGAAATGTATACTCCTGGGAAGAAAGTGAGTTAGTTTTTGGTGTGTCCTTCTCATTTTTATAGTACCTCGTTTGCTCCATTACTGACCAATACAGAACAAAATATATTTTCAGAAAAATCCTTCACTGAGGTATTTTTTCCTAAGGAGAGTTACTAATCACTCTTTGATGCTTTGTAGATAAGTACCCATGATCGCATAGCTAGGAAGTATTGGAGCCAATATTCTAATTCAGATGTGCTAAGCTCCGAAACCTGTGGCTATTTCAGGATATCACAGTGGTTTAAATGGTAAAATATAGATATGGCTTATGTATTAGAACACAACAAGAAAACTAAAAAATTGAGAACTTCAGGTATATTTTATAGGGAACTCTGGATTGAATGTGCTGCCGTGTTTGAATTTTGTCTCTCTCTCTCCTACCACTCATTTTATTAATTAGCTGCCAACACCTTATGCCAGTGGATAAAAATTTTGGAAATAACCAGAGAAAAGCATTTAGAAAGTTAAATTCACCAGTGAATTTAAATGCAAATAATAAAATAATAAAGTGCAAAGCAAGTATGTGTGGTTCTGGATTACCTGTTGTTTTAGAATCATAATCCAGCATATTGTGAAAGATTTTATTTTTGGTGTATATATTTATAAGATGTATATTTTAGCTAACTTATATTTTTACAAAGAGTTAACTAGGTTCATCTTTGCATCTAAATAGTGCACATATAAACTAGAGATTTCATATGTGTATATATATACATATATGACAAAAAAGTGTTTCAGGAACAGAATTTTCTTGGAAATTTAATGACATTATAATTAATGCTTATCCTTACTCTAAAAGGGAACTGAAATAATTGAAATAATTGACAAAATTTAATATCTTTGATTCATACCCTTTTCTGATAATTTTCAAATAAGACCTTTATGAGAAGTATTTACTTTCTACAGTGTAACTTGACAGTAAACTTGGGATATTGATGAGTACAGAGAATATTTCAGAGAATTTCCTCAATATCCTATTAGTGAATGAAATTAAGTAGCATTTGAAATTTTTCCTCCAGCTCATTCACTAAGCAGGAAAAAGGAAATTTTCTTTCAATTTGGCAAATACTACCAGTCCTTCCTTTGACCAGTTACTTTTTTCTTAACTCCAGATCCACTTAGCAGGAAGTGACAAGAGAAGCTGAAACAGGATGTTAGGGATATTTTTTTCTTTCCCTGATTCTCTTTCTTGTCTCCAAATTATCTATACTCATGCGGGCATCTGGAGAGTTTATACTGCAACTTGATGTGCAAGTTCTATAAATAGAAGATAACTAAAAATATTTTTCAAAAGAAATCAGAGGTATATTTTGGAAATCACAAGTTGTTGTTTCTTAAAAGCCACAGTTGCATTTAGCAATAAATTATGTTTGTAATTTACTTCATAGCTGACACTTCTCAGTCAGTGCCATGTGAAGATATGTCTGCTCCACACACACACACCCAAAAAAAAAATCTTGCTTATAAAACCACTCTTCAGTTGCAACTAGTAACTTGTAGAAGTAAGATGACTTGAACCATCCTGAACCTGAAGAAATTGTAAGAATTTTCCACCCCCAAATCCACCCTTGGGAGGAACTAGATCATATTTGCATAATTATGTGCAATTATTTGATTCATTGTTTTGGTGGATGAGATTTACATACAATGGGAAGATTCTAATTTTAAAAATTGTTTTTCTCAAATTTTCTACAAGTGTTTTCAGATTATTTTACAGCAAATACAAGTGACAGTTTATATAAAATAGTAAAATAATGTCTTCAGAAATGCGCACTCTAGTGTTACTTAAAAACTAATGTCTGCTCTTGGTGTCATCACCATTTTGAAGTCTCAAAATGTTTAGAATGCCAGCAGCCTTTTTGGTTAGTCACAGTGTTTTGCCAAAGGTATTTCACTGGGGATAAAGGAGGAAAAAAATAATGTGTACCTTAAAATGCCTCTCTTTAATACCGTTACATCATTAGATGATCTTAAAGAATTTGTGAGCCCCTCGCTTCCACTTTTAATTCTGTCTTTTCATCATCATTATCATCATCACTCTTAATATTTCTGAAATAAATGCCGGTGTTCCCCTCTAAGTTCACTTTAGCCTTTTACTATTTTAACATTATTTAAATCCTGCTTTCTTCTTTATTTATAGATTCAGATGTCAGAGAAATATTGGGAACTTTGAACAAAAAGAAAGACTAAAATAATTACTTCTTGTGTAGTCAGGTTTTGCTCTCATAGCTAACTATAGGAACAAGGACACATTTTGTTTATGCTGTTTAAGGTCTCTGGAATTTTTTTCCTATTATTTATTTTTAAACACCTGAAGTCGTCTTGTAAACAGAAGTCATTGTTAACTTTGTGGAAAGACAGTGAAAAAGAGGAATCCTTTTAAATGATTCATATTTAACAAATCTAAAAGTTCAAACCACAGCTCTTTGAAATAATTTGGCTATTATTGATCACTGTATAAACACCTAGTTTTGAATTTCTTTACTTTAGTGTACATTTTAAATTAGGTATTCAGACATTTAGTTTTGCTCCAAATTTAGAATGAGATTTTAAGCTATTTGGGTTTTTCGTTTGTGATGTATTCTGTTTTGTTTTAAAGTCTTTGTGGGTATCCTTTATGTGTTAGTCTGTGTTTTCTTTCCCTTTTCTCTCTATCTTTAGTAAAGAGAACACAAATCTGATAACATAAATCCTTATACCTGAAAACAGCCCTTTATCAAAGTTAATTACTGTTGAAACCCCACAAATCAACAGGTTCACATTCTCCAGATGGTTTTAGTTCTTATGTTTAAAGCCTCTGTTAATATAACTGCTGGCTTATTTGTATATTGTTAAATATTTTTTATATTATTTCCAGGTATGTTTTCAGGAACAGTGTTTTTATTATTAGATTTGAAATTATCAAAGTGGTCTTCCTGTAGAACAGTATTAGAGATTCTTAGAAACTTGAGAAAGTGTTTGCTTCTTGTTTATAGAAACTAAATACTCTCTAGTGTATTATGGTTGTGCATACATGTTTCATGGCAACCATAGTTGACATGTCTGTGTTTTTTAAGCAAGTATATTTATCTGTAATATGTGTTCTTACAAGACGAAATTTGTTTTTTTTATATATTTTCAGTGAAAGAGTTTCTAGCTAAAGCCAAAGAAGACTTTTTAAAAAAATGGGAAAATCCTGCTCAGGTAAGGAATGTTTAAAATTTTCTACAATTTAAAAATCCTGTGTTAAGTAAAATCATGGTTCTTGCCTAAGTAATTTACTACTTCAGAAACTTTAATTTTCAAGTAGCTTTAATAAGTGTAAGCTTAGCATGGGAATTTTGCCGTAACACTGTTTTGATTTATTAATAAATAATTCTATGTATACCTAAATTGGAGAAGGAACTAATTTTCAGTATAATAACTGATTGTAAATTTTGATGCTACTTCCAAACTGCTGCAAATTCTTGATGTTTTCTAATTTATGGTAATTTTGGTTTATGCCTTTGATAGCATATTTATTATTTTTATTAATTACAACAATAGGGATCCTATTGTGTAAGTTTCAAGTTCTTAATCACAAATACTTGGCTATTAGCAACATACCAAGTACACAGGGATCCATTCATAAACGTTTTGATGGAGTAAGTTCTATATAATTTAAGTACTTTAGATCTTAACTACGATCTAAAAACTATGTATAAAAAGAGCCAACTATGCTTGACAAAAAAATTTCTTTTCAAAGTTATAGATAATTAAGGAACCTAATAGTAGGTTGAATTTTTAAAACCTTTTTTCCTAGCACAAAAATTTTATTTCAAGTATTTTTTCACTAAAAAATATTTAATTCTAAATAATGTTATGTTTTATGAAGATGCCATCATTACCAAGATTTATAGCATGACCTGTAATTTAAAATGTAGTCACTCTACTGATTACAAAAAGTTAGACATCTAACATGAATCTTTAAGGGAGGTGAGAAAAAGATGGCATATTTGAATGAAAAGCAGTGACAGGCAAAAAGAGATGATCTGTTGTCTATTAATGAAGTTGGTTTCCATTATTTAGTTGTCAACTATATTAAACATTCAGTACATCTGTAGTCATAAAACCAAAAATTAAATATTAACCCATAAAATTAAATAATTCAATCAGAATTATAATGAGTTTTTTCTTTCTTCATTGATACAGAATCTTATGGCAATTTAAATTATTGGAAATTTGAAATTAAAATATGATGAAAACAAGTTTCATAAGTAAAAATTTAGAGTTGCTTGCACTCTCTGTAATGGTTCAACAAGAAGCTATCGTGTGTCTCCAAAGGCAAGGTTTGATTTGCAGTAGAGATTAAATCCAACTACAGGGGACACCAGTAGCTAGCCAGGTTCCTCACTTATGTAAGACTCACATTGCCTTACCTTTTTCTCAAGCTAAACACTGTTCAGACTGCCCCTTGGAAATATTTTCTCCAAGATTTTCATGGAGATCTTCGTAATGAAAACTTATTAAACAAATGGGTCAACAATCACTATTTGTTGCTATTTAGCACATAATTTATTCCTAGTAATTTTCATTTTGTTGTGGCAGCAACAAATTCAATAGATTGATGCCTCTAATTCTTTGCCTCTATATTATAGTCAAAGCCGAACAAAGATGTTTACTCATAACAAAGCATCTATTCAAAGAGAAAAAGAGACTGATTATTGTTTGGGACTCTGACTTTGGCTATCTTTGTGAGAATGAGGAACTCTTCTTTCCTTACTGTTACTGTTTTAACTAATACTGGGTTATTATAACATCAGAGAGAGAAAGCCGATAGGATCTCTTATCCTGTTATTATCTAGTTCCATAAGCTCGTATAAAGATAGAAATGAAGTAAAACAGTGCTTTCTTCAGAGATAACTCTAGTGAAGGACTCTGATCCCTCGGTTTATGCGTATTACAATTATTTGCAAGTGCACTAATACGGTATGGCTTCCATGATTGTCTTTGACAGTATACTTCTGGTCAGTTTGTAATTATTTAAATGTGGAATGAATTTATTAGAAGTTTAATACTAGGAATTCATATTGGAATATGACCATTAATATTTCACCTGAGGATCTTGTTTTCTCCCATTACTATTATGCTTTGTTTTGAAATATAATTCTATTCTCAATTATTAGAGCTTTTCTTATTCAAAGGGAAAATAGAGCCAATAACCTAGAATCTCAATAGTCTTTTTGTATTGTTTTTAAATGAATAGTTATAAATTAAGTTATTCTCATTATATATCACTAAAGCTATTATAATTATCATAGTCTTTTTTTGAGAAATTCTACCTTTAAAGTTTATTTTATTTTTTCATGTATATGTAGAATAATGCCGGGCTGGAGGATTTTGAAAGGAAAAAAACCCTTGGAACAGGTTCATTTGGAAGAGTCATGTTGGTGAAACATAAAGCCACTGAACAGTATTATGCCATGAAGATCTTAGATAAGCAGAAGGTCAGTGTCTTTGTTGTTTTTTGCCTGAAGGATAAACTTCAGTTTTATCAGCTAGATTATTAGACAGATGTGATATCATGACTTGCCATGGACACCTGCAAATAATTTTCTTGTTGCGTTTAATTTGCATTCTTATTTATTGTGACTGTGTGATACATAGTTAATAGTTTTAGTATATGGGGGTACATTATTATTTCAATAATTATTTATACATAATAGGTATCTGTATGTTCACTAACAAAATTTTGGATTCGACACATAAAGAACAGGCATCTCTACTACATTCTGCCTTGTGGAAAAGTACAGGGATCAATTATTTGATTCTTAGGTTGAGGTAACAGAAATTGAGTGATTTTATTTTGACTTAGTTTAATTGACAGTAGAAGCCCTCTTGTTTAATAGTACTGAGTTTGGTTCATTTAAATGCAGTTAAAGCAGGGAAAAATGTGAAAACCTACATACTATAAAAAATATCAAATCATTATGCTGTATACCGGAAATTAATATATTGTTATATGTCAATTATATCTTGATAAAAAATTAATTAAAATAAAAAGCAAATGTTAAGTATTTGTCACATATTAGTGTATCTATGAATCAAGGTGTCTGAATTATTCATGCTTTAAATACTAAGCTTCTGTTTTCCTAGTAATCACGTACAGTTGAGGGAAAGTAAAAGAAAAATGGCAAATCTTGATTTATTATCTTATAGATATTATGTTCCCAAGAATGACATTTTGGCTTACTGGGATGTAGATCGGTACTAAACTGGTAGTCGGGGTTACAGATAGTGGCCAGACTAATGCTGTCCAATAGAAGTATGTTGTGAGCCACATATATAATTTCACATTTTCGAGTAGCCACATTAAAAAAAGTAAGAAGAAATAGATGAAATTAATTTTAATAGTAGATTTTATTTAGCCCAATGTATCTAAAATATTACTGCAACATGTGATTAATATAAAAATTACTGAGATATTTTACCTTCTTTTTTCATACCAAGTCTTCAAAATCTGATGTATGTTTTACGTGTACAGTACATCTCCATTTGGATTAGCCACATTTCAAGTGTTAAATAACCAGACGAGGCTAGTAGCTACCATACTGACAACCCAGCATTACACTGGTCAGAGGTTCCAATCCAACCTCTACTTTAAAACAAAAACCAAAACTAACCTCTAACATGAAAAGGAGTAATGGCTTAAGTCTCTCTAAAATTAAATACACCTATACACACATTGGTTGTGCGTCTTTGTCTACTGCCTTCTTTCACATACCTTTTTGTTTTGTTTTTTTTTTTCCCAAGGAAGATTAGCCCTGAGCTAACATCTGCCAATCCTCCTATTTTTTCTGAGGAAGATTGGCCCTGAGCTAACATCTGTGCCCATCTTCCTCTGCTTACATGTGGGACGCCTACCACAGCATGGCCTGCCACGCAGTGCCATGTCTACACCCAGAATCCGAACCTGCAAACCCCAGGCCGCCTAAGCAGAACATGCACACTTAACCACTGTGCCACCAGGCCAGCCCCTCACATATCTTTTCTAACTGTGCTTCTTGAAAAACAGTCACTCTGTCCACTAACTCACTTCCGATTCATTCTTCAGCCCTCAGTTTAGCTGCCTCCTTGTTCATCTCCAACCTCTTGCTGCTCTATTGAAATGGCTCTGGCAAGGGTCACCAATCCAGTGGCCTAATCATCAAGTTCAGTGGATTCTTTTTGCTCATCTTATGTGACTTTATTGGAGCCTATGGCTGTGCTGACCATTCCCTTGAAACTGTCTCGTTCCTGGCCTTCTGCATCCCCATGTTCTTTGGATTATGCTCCTGCCTCTCTGGGCTCTTGTTTTTATGAGCCTTTTCCTGTTTTGTTTTATCTTTTTCCTTCTGTCTACTCTTTAAAGAATGCCAGTCCCAATCACTGGATGATCTCCTCTTCTCATTTCATTGTTCCATACCCTCTCCCTGTGTACACTTATCCAGCCTTCAGCTTACCCTTGAGCTCTGCATACCTAATTTGTACAATCTGAGCCTGGAGCTGTTAGAGATCAACTACTTCTTTCCATAATTTTCTAGATGAGGTAATGAGTCTCAGAGAGGTTAAGTGGCTTGTATACTTGTGTTGGTAGTACAACAACAACAAAATGCTTCAAATTTATATTTTTGATTAAACCTGTCATTAAAATGTTATTATCTCGAAACCTCTGATATTTTGTTATCTTTCTTAAGGAATTAATAGAACGTGCTTTAGTCATAAAATACTAAAAGGATTACAAAATATGCCATTTTATGCTTTAAAGTATTTAGGAAAGAAGTTTTTAATTCCTTTTTTGGTAAGACAGTGCCTTGTTAAATAAGTTACTGGGAAGGTTACCTCATGGATAAATTATGACAAAAGAGTATTTCCCTGAAGAATAGCTGCCATTTTAAGTCATTTCCTCTATGGCAATGTTGTGGATCTATTCATAATTCGGACAAAGTTTTTTTTCCTTCTTCTCTTCTCCCCAAAGCCCCCAATACGTAGTCACATATTCTAGTTGTAGGTCCTTCTATTTATGCTATGTGGGACGCCACCTCAGCATGGCTTGATGAGCAGTGCCATGTCCGTGCCCAGGATCCCAAGTGGCGAGACCCTGGGCCACCAAAGCGGAGCACATGAACTTAACCACTCAGCCACGGGGCCAGCCCCCAGACAAAGAATTTATGTTCTAAATTTTTTCAAGTTTATTTGCTTTAATTTGCTAAAGCTAAGTAATAAAATAACACTCCATAATAACCTTCTTTTCTGTTAATAAAGTCACAAATCTTTCAATTAACTCTTTTTGGCTTCTCCTATCTTATAGCGTTTGGGGTGAGGGGAAGAAAACCACTGCAGAAATTAAGGAAATCACTAGTAATAACGAGGTATACCAGATAACCTCTTTCATTATTAACCTCCAAAGCAAGTTTTAGGCTATTTCACATTCTTCCTTATTGAGGTACTGGGTGAGAATCAGGCTGAAAAGAAACAAAAACTGAATTCCATTTAGTTTGATTCAACTGTATACATTTGCAGAGCACCTTGTATATACCAAGTACACTTCTTGGTTAGTGGAGGAAAGGGAAGGTAGGAAAAGAAAGGTCAGAGATTGGTATAATCAATAAGACATGTTCTCTATCATTAAGAATTTTGCTGTCTAGCTGAGGAAACACGTATACACTAAGGATTAAATAACTGATAACGTCTGGAACTTTTAACCCTTGGTAGACTAAAGAAAGTGAAAAAAATTAAGGCAATCACATTTCTTTATTCCACTCTCTGTGTCAAGCATCGCTAGGCACTTTGTATTTATTGTATCAGTGAATCTTCACCACAACTTTGTGTGACATTAATCCCCTTTGAAGCCAATAACCTCTCTATTGAAATAATTTTTCCAAAGTCAGACACCTGGTAAGATGAATCAAGAATTGACCCAGGTTTACCTGATTTCTGTGCCCATACTCGTTTTTCCTTTAAAATGTATTGTGACCCCTCAGAGCGTTTCTCCCACCACCTAATTTGATTTCTCATTTATGTCAAATGGGCTTTCACAATAACATCTTAATTATTTTCCACAACCTCAGACTTTTCACTTTCTCCTAATTCAGCCTCCTCACTGCCAACGAAGTTTCTTGTCATATCATATCATTTCACTCACTCCCTTAAAAAGCTTCCTCATGTTTATTCATGAAGTAAGAACTCTGCAGCCTACTCTCAAACCCTTCATAAATTTCTTCCAAACTCCACTGTAGTCTTATCTCACACAATTCCCTGTGTATCCTCTATTCTCTACTTTTCTGAGTGAAACTTGACCCACAGGTGTATATAGTGCTATGCTGGGTGGGTCAGGGGAGTGTGTGATAATACATGGCCTATCGTCCTTATTAATAACTCCTCAAATGGTTGGTTAAAAAAAAAAATCAGCTAATATGCAATCATTTATAAGTGCTTTTAAATATGTGTATGTAAACCAACAGAAATATTAAGAAGTAAATATAAATTTTATATGAATTTTGAAAATAAAATATGGACTACACCCCCAGGGGTAGTTGTTAATTTTTCTCTGCTATTTAGGAGTACTTCATTACCAAATTTTGAAAAGCACTGTCCTAAGCTGTAGCCAAATGGAACTAGCGCTCAGACTTACCTTGGTATATTTTTCCTCTTCAGATAATGGTTCTTTATATTAACCTTGACTGCGTAGTCTTCTCTGTAATTTTCTAACCCTTGTTATCTACACATCTTTAAGACTCAGCTGAGCTCTCACCTTTTTAAATAGATTATAATAACAATTGACAGTGTTTTGAGCTTTTACTTTGTGCCAGGCACTATGTTAATCACTTGACGGGCCTAGTGCCACATAGTTCTAAAGTGTAGCTATTATTATTATCAGCATTTTATAGGTGAAGAATCTGAGCCTCAGAAAGATTTAAGTATTAAGCCTAATTTAAACATTTTCTCCTCTGAACACTTATGACATCATAACTCTCACTTGGCAATTATTCACATATTGCTAGTCACATATTCATACATCATACTTCCAAATAGATTTTACGCAGCATGAAGGCAGACACTTTCTTATCTTCATCTCTATTGTACTTATTATTATGCCTTATATGTAGCAGATATACACATTGGAAAGTAAATTAGATTTTAATTAATTTTAAATTAATTTAAAAATTAACTAAGCATATTTGCTTTGCCTGTTCATATATCTTGAATTCATTTCTATTTTTAATTATTATACCCCCCACACACGGTTGGCTTAGGGCTATAATGCACAAAGCCTCTCTCTTGCAGTTTTCATTACTTATTTCACAAGGTAACACATTGTCTATGCCTAACTAAAAGCCTGCTATATCATAATATGCAAAAGTAAATACTGTGGTACATCCAGACAATGGAATATTATTCAGCACTAAAAAGAAATGAGCTACTAAGCCATGAAAAGACATGGAGGAAACTTAAATGCATATTACTAAGTGAAAAAAGCCAATCTGAAAAAGCTACATACTGTGTGATTCCAACTATTTGACATTCTGGAAAAGGCAAAACTATGGAGAGGGTAAAAAAATCAGTGGTTGCCTGGGGTTGTGGGGAGGGAGGGATGAATAAGTGGAGCACAGAGGATTTTTAGGACAGTGAGACTACTCTGATATTATAATGGTGGGTCATGTCTTTATATATTTGTTCAAACCCACAGAATGTACACCACCAAGAGTCAACCCTAATGCAAACTATGGACTCTAAGTGATAATGGTGTGTCAGTGTAAGTTCATTGATTGTAACAAATGTACCACTCTGGCAGGGAATGTTGATAACAAGGGAGTCCATGCATGTGTTGGGGCAGGAGGTATATGGGAAATCTCTGTATCTTCCACTCAACTCTACTGTGAACCTGAAACTGCTAAAAATAGTCTATTTTTTAAAAAGTAAACACAAGCAGCAGTAATTCTCCAGCTAATGTTATATAATTTATGGACTAATTGGTTCTGTAACTCGTTAGAATGTAGACAGTAGTGATCCAACAATTTCATGTTACAGATTAAAAAAAACTGAAATCCTAAATTGAAACAACATCTCCAAAGTCACAAAACTGGTTGAATAGAAGGTCTAGACTAGAATACAGATCTTCTGATTCTTAGTCAATTATTCTTTGCTCAGCATTATTTTTTGTTTTATTTTTTTGTTTGTGAGGAAGATTGACCCTGAGCTAACATCTGTTGCCAATCTTCCTCTTTTTGCTTGAGGAAGACTGTTGCTGAGCTAACACCTGTGGCAGTCTTCCTCTGTTTTATGTGGGATGCTGCCACAGTGTGTCTTGACAAGCGGTGCTAGGTCCGCACCTGGGCTCTGAACCTGTGAACTCCAGGCCACTGAAGCGGAGTGCAGGAACTTAACAACACTACAGCACCAGGCCAACCCCAGCATTATTTTTATACTGTAATTTTATATGCTAATAACTGAATGGTATCTTTAATTACCATTTTATTCATGTTGAACTTCTCGAATTCTGTGACTACCCCACATAGACAATAAGAAAGAATGCCACCTTCTAATGATTTACACATATACAAGACAATTATTTATATCTCCCTAAGGTCACCTTTTCTTAAATTAACAATAGAATCACAGCCTTTATGAAGTCATGCTAAGTTGCTTTCTCCTGCTATTGTACTTGATTGAGTAGACAATCCAGAAAAAGCTTGATTAATCCTAAATGACCTGTTTGTTATAAAGACATAGTTGTTTTTTGCCAATATTTTGTGTGTTCTCTTTTGTGTCTGTATAAATTGAATTTTTAGGATTTGTTCTTGTATTTATTTAGGTATTATGAAATGAACAGATTGTTCATTCCTACCCACTGTTTTTCAATTATTGGCTTTTCCTCAATCCTTGATTTCCTTTTTGATCTTCTGAAGATTTAAGATCAATACCTACTTATTGCAGCAATTTGTCCCAGCTCCTTTAGTGGACTATAAGTTGTTAGGAACTAAGTATTTTCATATATTAATTTTTAAAGTAATTTATGATGAGTCTGTTTCTTCTTAGTTCTTGCTTCTTGATTGAAAATCATAGTTGACCTTCTTAAGACCAAGTTTTAAATCCTCTATTAGGTTTTTCATTTGAATCTGATAAGCTTAGTTGGTACTAACTATTATCATCCTTATCCAACTCTAGCGATTTTGCTCATCCAAGTTCATTATTATATGAAAAACATTTTATTTTTTCTTTTAAAACTCTAGTAGCTTCTAAATTTTGTTCAAATACATTAAATATATTTGTCTTTCAATTACAGGTTGTTAAACTGAAGCAAATAGAGCATACTTTGAATGAGAAAAGAATATTACAGGCAGTGAATTTTCCTTTTCTTGTTCGACTGGAGTATTCTTTTAAGGTAAATTTTACTGATATCCAAATAAAATATTTTCAACCTTATATACTTTTTAAATATGAAGCTGGAATAGAATTCTAAACCAGATGATAAACATGGAGAATATGAATAAACAAAAAAGTAATATATTTAGATTTTATGTAATTAAATCCTATTGAGCTTATAAATTTAGGTAACATTTGAAAAGGAAAATTGTTAAAGGTAATTTGTAATTTTTCATGAGATAAATGCAAATATTTCAATTTATCAGAATCCATAGTGATATCTTATTAAGCAATTCTTATACTCATGCACATGAATACACCCACATACCTTTTTCTTCTCTTGAACCTTGTTTGCCACAATCTCACCATCTTCTTTTATTTAGTAATTTTTGCTCTAGTCTTTTCATTTATATGAGGCAGAACGGTCTTTGGCCCTCTGCTCAAGTGTCTCATAAAGTTGCACAAGATTTGTTCTTTAAGTTGGCAGCTTTTTAGCTCTTTGGAGTAATACTTTCATCTCTCTGCAATATTGAGCTATATGAAATATTTTAACCTTTTTCTTTTGATTTAGGATGATGTTAAAAATCGTCAATCTCTATGACCTAATTTAATACATAAAATGTAAATATTCTGAGTAACTTTTTCATATTTTTGTAACTTTGTTATTCCTTTGCATAAACTGGAGCATCAAGTCATTGCTGAAGTGTTTAATTGTTCAGGAGTTAACTGTTCCCTGCAAGAGTAGGAACAGCAACAATCCCAGATTAATCTGTGGCAAGAACACTAGGGGGAAAAGAATGAGTGCCTCAGTGTAGAAAAGTTAGAGCAGTTAGTAATCTGTCAGATAGATTTTTATATTTGTCTTGTTCTACTTGAACATGGTATTTTCTTAAAATATTTTCTTGAAATAATCTAAATTTCATAACTTTAATTTATCCTTTTTATTTGTTCATAGGATAATTCTAATTTATACATGGTTATGGAATATGTCCCCGGGGGTGAAATGTTTTCACATTTAAGAAGAATTGGAAGGTTCAGGTAACTAACACTTTACCCTTCTCACATCTTTGTATGCTGTGTTTGTTTTAATCCAATTTTTCAAGTTTTTGTCAGTGCTAAAAATTTATTTTATTTAATTTAGTAATATTTTAGCTATATGAAGAATTACATGGAAATATTAATGAGGCCACACCATACTGAGTTTTAAAAGTCAAATAAAAGCACCATGATACCAATGTAAATATTTTACCATTGGTAGGTATTGTGAGGGTCCATAATTTGAAAAATTTCCAGATAATGCAAAAGTTAATTAAATTTAAATATACCAGTATTTATTGAAGAAGCATTAATAATACAACTCTGGGGAAGAGGTTTGTGTAAGGATGAAGATAAGAAAGGAATATATAGAAAAGATAATGTATCGTAGGGATGAGATTATGAAAGTTTGTTTTGCACAAATTTGATTTTCCTTAAAGCTGTTGCTATGTTGAGTTTTAAAAATATGTACGTAATTCAAAAACAGTTTGTACCTTATCTTGAGGTTATTACTAATAAGGTCACACAGCTATGGAAATAGGTTATAGATTGTTAGCCTTACCTGTGTGTAATAGCCTGTAAGCTGCTACTGTTCATTAATAATCATTAGTAGAATGAAGCTGAAATCAAGAGCAGTTCCAGCTTCATTCAGTACATTATACATTGGCATGATTAAAACATAAGTATGAGTTGAAACCGGACCGATGATGGTAATTTGATTCATAAAAAGATGATAGACTTGGATTATCAGGAAATGGTATTCAGTAATGGGCCAACATTAGAGTTATTTTGGTTAACCTCAGGCCTTAAGCCAAAATTCATTTATTCACCTAATATGTATAGGGCACCTATTATGTGTCAGGCACTGTGCTAATGTAAAGTAACTTCTGTTTATCTTTAATGATATTCTTTCACCTCCTCTTGTCCTCTTTCCTGCCACCCCTTGTCCAAGCATGCCCGGGATCCTCGTATTGCCCTGTGATAATTCAAAGTTTTACAATGAATTACCACACCTAAACCCGTCTTCAAAAGGTGTTTTGTCCATTTTCTATAATTACTAACTTCTTTCCTTTGCAACTCCCCCACTCTTATTTCTGTTGACGTGGTAGTAGGAGGAAAGCAAGTTGATGGAAATAACTCACAGAGACACTGTCTTTTATGACCTTTCACACATACTACATGTATGCTTGAAAGGTTGCTAACTCTCATCTTAGAAACTTTGAGGCAGCAAGAATACTGTTATTGTTGAGCATGGGTTTAATCAAAATCAGTGGCGTCGTTATGATTCTCTACTTAAACAGCAACTGTCTAGACTTAAAGCTGCTGCAGCATCAAATCCTCCTATGGAATATTTTCTCACACTTTTCAACAGTTTGATCATAGATCTATGTAATGTTTGTGTTTCTCCAATCAAACACCAGAATGTGGAAATAAATATAAAATGTTGAGTGCATCTTATATTTATGATAATAAATTTATATTTATATACATTACGATAAGTTTATATTTATTTATAAGTATCAGATGCTAAGTGTATCCTATATTTACAGATGCATGGAGAAAATAGGAAGAGACCTCCCAGGTCAAACGTTTCCAAGGTTAGGGATAAATGTTTCAGTGACCAGGATGACGCTTCCAGTCTTCCCTTACAATGTTGCCTTCATTCCTTGTCATAGGATATATGATATAGATTTTACAGTTTTGGGAGGTGGCTGAAACTCAGGGTATTATAAAATATTGCCCCCCAAAAGTAGTTTTATTTACATATTCATTCATTCAACAAATAGCTACTGAATACCTGATATGTATCAGACTAGGATCTAGGAAATAATGATAAGCAAAAAGAGCAGCATATATAATCTTTTTTGGAATTTCTATTTCTGGTGCTATCAGATCAAACTCATTCCAACCATCTTGAGGGAAATTCTATTCATAGTCAATGTTGTTCATTGAGGACATAAATCTGAAAGTCATTGCAATTTGTCAGGCAGATTAGCAAAATTCAGTATATATAATGGAAGATGAAATGGAAACTCAAATTAGAAAATCATTACATCCTTTGGAGTAATACTCAGAATATGGCATCAAAATTACACTGATCTATCATTTGATCTAATCTGTGCATGCAAGAACTGTACATGTTTACACAAATCTATAGATTATACCTATGTTTGTGTGTGTCTGTAGGCATGCATACTAGATTTGGAAATTCACACACCAGGGTTGTATACATGGTTTCTGGATGGGATTATGGCAATTCTTTATTCTTCATCAATATTTTGTGATACTTTTTCTATAATGAGCATATATAATTTTTATAATAGGAATAGCCTGGGTAAAATGGCATTAAATTTGCAGATTAATACAGTTAAATAGCTTCTGTGTAGTGAAATTCTTTAAGCACTTGAAATTTGTGAGAAAGGTAGATGCAGTCTATCAACAGTAGCAGTGGCCTGACAGACAATCTAACTGGCACATTTGGGTCAGTCTCGAGATCAGAAACAATTATAAAAAACCAATATCTTCTAATATGGGCAATAATAGCTTAAAATAAGATGACTATTTTAGAGTTATGTTTTTCTTCAACATATGCTGCCCCCTAAGCATATCAAAGCTTTGTTTGAAAACGATTTCGAGATTTAGTAAATATTTGGAAACTAACCAGATTTTTTACATACGTTTAAAAGAAAAAATACTTTTTGCTCCCAAAATACATCTACCTCATATTAAATTTTTTGTATAATCTACTAATTACTGTGTGTTAACCCATTTTACAGAAAATCAATGTTTTGTTTCTTTGTAGTGAACCCCATGCACGGTTCTATGCAGCTCAGATAGTGCTAACATTCGAGTACCTCCATTCACTAGACCTCATCTACAGAGATCTAAAACCTGAAAATCTCTTAATTGACCACCAAGGTTATATCCAGGTATGACTTGAATGCATTATGTATAATATATTTGAGAAAATACTAGGTAAGAAGTTGTATTTATTTAACCCCAACTACCAATATTGGATTTTTCTTTGAGGAAGGCAATTACTTCTTCCTAATAGCTTAAATTGAGCTTGTAGTTCTGCCATTATTACAGAGAACCAAAAATCTCATCAAGGGTAGAACCTGTTTGTATCTTCCATAATCTATAGTTGTGAACTAAACACAGGCTCCTGCATAAATAAATATATAATAGCTAAATCTGTGACCTCTCATTTAGTGCATTATTCTGAGTGTTTTACGTGGATCATCTCTTTTAATCCTGATAACTTTATGAAGTATAAGTACTATTGTTATCCTCATTTTAAGGCCAGTATAACTAAGGCACAGCAGTGTCACAAATGCAGTATGAGAGTCAGAATTTGAACCCACAGTCTGTCGCCCGAGTCCATGCTCCTTAGCATTACAATGCTGCTGCCAAAGGAGCCCTGGCTACCAACACTGGACTGGTGGCAGTGTTTTCTTTCCATTTCCACTATTAATAGAGTGGGAGCATCCTTTTTACACAGCTGTTAATAGATTCTCCTGTTGATACTTCTGCACTTCTGATGATGTAATTAATAGCAGAGGACATGCTGGACTTAAGAAACACTCCTAGCATTGCTTCATTTTTATTAAAACTATTCATTTTTACCTTTATTTTGTTGTTGTTCATTTGTTTCTTTGTTGGAGTCAGGGAAAGGTTCTCTCCAGCATGGGTTGTTTGAACTTTCATTCACTAAATAGTGGCCTTCATGGATTAGTCCCAGTTACGTTGACTTAATTTTTTCCATAGTTTTAATTTTAACCCTGATTTTTATCTTTCAACTTCGGTACAATAAATATATTTATTGTGAAATAATAAATGTTCACAAGAATTTTTTTTCTTTTATAGGTCACAGACTTTGGGTTTGCCAAAAGAGTTAAAGGCAGAACTTGGACATTATGTGGCACTCCAGAATATTTAGCTCCAGAAATAATCCTCAGCAAGGTATGTCTATGATGTCATTATGTAAGAAGCAGAAATATAAGGCATGCATCAGTGTGGACTTTTATAAAAAGTTTATTGATCTAATTTTATATTTTTATTTCATCTAAATTATGAATTTAAATCTGTGCATTTTTACTAAAAAATATATTATTTAGAGTCTACCACTAATCCCATAACTTCTGTCAATTTTAGCTCTGGATCTAAGAGAAATAATGTGAATAAATTTGACCTCTAGATCTATGGTTTTTTCCTTCCAGTTTTATTGGGAAACAATTGATATACATCACTGTATAAGTTTAAAGCATGATGGCTTGATTTACATATATTGTGAAATGAATATCACAATAGGTTTAGTTAACATCCATCATCTCATATAGATACAGAAGAAAAGAAAAGAAAAGAAAAATAAAGATCCATGGTTTGAAGGCAAAAGCATAGCCTTTTCATAATTATTCCCAATAACAGAAGGACAGGGAAGCCTTGCTCTGGGTTACGCCAAGAGGCAAATCTAAAGATGATGTGTACTAAGTTGTCACTTCTTCTTTTGTTTTAACTTTACCACGTAAATGAAAGAAATGTATGTTATTTTTTTTTTAATTTTAGTTTAAAAATAGGAATAGTGCATCAATTGAATAGTTCTAGTCTCATTGAAGACAGTTCTACTTTTTCAAACACTGAAAATGTGGTGAGAGAAATTTGTAATCTTGTGTACAAGGATGGTTTCATTTATTTTCCTTTCTACTGCCATCCATTTCTGGAGGAAGTTAGGAAGAAGAAACTGACAATAACTGGGCACAAAAAGGAGCAAGGACAAAGAAAGGGGTGACATGTGCCTCAATATTTACAAACTGAATAACCACTCCTGAATAATTGAAATCTGGCTAACCAATAGAAGTGTTAGAATAAAATAAAAGATTTCTTTCAGCTTTCCTCTCATTGTCTTTCATAATTTAAATCATCTACAACTTTTAGTCTTTTTTTTTTACAAAGAAGCTTTTTTTTTAAACTTTATTTTTTTTAATTTTTAATTTTTTTTTTAAAGATTTTTTTTTCTTTTTTTTTTTTTCCTTTTTCTCCCCAAAGCCCCCTGGTACATAGTTGTATATTCTTCGTTGTGGGTCCTTCTAGTTGTGGCATGTGGGACGCTGCCTCAGCGTGGTTTGATGAGTGGTGCCATGTCCGCGCCCAGGATTCGAACCAACGAAACACTGGGCCGCCTGCAGCGGAGTGTGCGAACTTAACCACTCGGCCACGGGGCCAGCCCCAACAACTTTTAGTCTTTTATAATCTAAATATCATTGCTGTTAATGCATTTCTTCTGTAAGTACACTTAACAAGTAATATGACAGATTAAGCACCAAAACTTTTAAAAAGGTATATATATTATAAAAGTAATAGATGTTCATTGTATAAAATTTGGAAAATGCGGAAAAATATGAAGAAACAATCCAAAAAACCTATAATCTCACTACTTAGAGGCAGCCTTTTTTAAAAAAATATTTTAATATATTTTTCATGCATGTTATCATAGTTGAGATATAGTGAATTTTACCATTTTGTGTTCAGCTTCTTTCACTTGAATAATAATAAGCATGCAAACTCATTCTAATGGCTTATTTGCAAAATAAAGTATTTTGCCATTCTTCTGTTGTTAAATATTCAGGTTCTTTCTTTTTTTCTTTTGCTATTATAAATAACTGTGATAAACATCTTTGTACAGAAAGCTTTTTCCGCATTTCCATTTTTTTAGGATAGATTCTCAGAAGTGGAATTACTGGGTCAAAGGGTATGAACATTTTTTAAGGCTCTCCATACATATTGCCAAAGTGCTTTCCAAAAAGACTGTAACATTTTATACTCCTACAGGCAGTGTATGAGAGTACTTGTTTCATTACACTCTCTAGCACTGGGTATTCTTATTTTAAAAATCATTACTACTTTATTAGACAATAAAGATATCTCATTATTTTAAGTCTCATGTCTTTGATTATTAGATTTTTAATGCTTAATAGTCATTTGGTATTTTGCTGTGTATGTGTATGGATTATTAGTTCATGTCCTTTGCCTATTTATCTATTGTAATTTAGTTTTTCTTATTGGTTTGTTTTAATTCTTTATACCTAGGGTATTAAAAGTATCTGGCATATCTATTATAAACATTAGTACACAATCTGAAACGTAGAAATCAAAGTTTAGTAAAAGGATTATAGTAAAAGTATTGTAATGAATGACATTGCTAATGAGTTGAATTAAAAGAACTAAAGCAAAATTGATGCCCATTTCTATTAACAAAACAAAGTGCTATTCCTATTATACTGGTCTCTTCCTTTTAAAAAACATACAGAGGCAGGAAAAAAAAGAAAATCTCTATATTATAGTATTATATTTTGGCTAGTAATTTGAAAATAAAATAGGTTGTAAAGCTAAAAGTTTGACAAAAGGTTGGAATATGGGGAGTGGTGATGGTAGAGGAAACGTTTGAGGACAGACCAAAAGATTTGGCAAAAACTCAGCTCATTTCTGTGCATCAAGTTGGGTATTTTTTTTCTATAATCTTTTGTGCCAGTTGACACTGCCCAGAGTTGAAAACAAACTTTATATAAACATGCTAATATTTTATTTTTATTTCCTTATGAATACTTCTAAATCTTAATTTTAGTAAGCTTAATGTGAAAAAAAAACCCAGTTAAAAATAACCTTAGAATTCTATGTTTGGTTTGCAATATGCTTTTTATACACATTACTTCCTTTCGTTTGATAAAGCCCTCACAAAACCCCAGGAGTTAGTTTTCTTTCTTGTATACCTTTTAGAGATGAGAAACAAAACATCTCTAACAAAAACATCTCTAATCTAAAAAAATGATAGCTAAAGTAAAATATACTTCAATATTTACATTTATTAGGTTCCAAATTAAACTTTTAGCTTTCATAAGATCCTGTGAAATGGATAGGATTATCCCTGCTATATTCACCCTCCTGGTTCCAACAGTATAGAGTATTTTGAAGTCAACTCCACTATTTACTATGAAGTCCAGTATCTACTATTTTGTTTCAAAATTTTTGACCCTTCTAAGTATGCTCTCGACAACCTGATTCATGAGATTATGGACTCAGAATGGACTTTAAGATGTAATTTAGTCCAACTCCCTTCCTATTATTGAGCAACAACTAAATTGTCCCAATTAAATAGGGGATATTTTATTGTCTATAATATTCTGAATGATTTTAGGAATAAGATTTACTAATACTTCCTAATATCCAATTCCAATATTTGAAAATTCTCCCCTTTGTTTAATTCAAATCTGACCTGATGCATTTTGTTCATTTTTTATTCTGTCCTGAATAGCTGCCTCGTAACTGCTTTTTAAAACATTTCATATGCTTGAAGATCGTTTTCAAATCATCTGTGACTTCATTCTCCTCTGAGTAAATTAAGTAGTAATTGACATTTGGTGTTGGTTTATTTTAGGGTTACAATAAGGCAGTGGATTGGTGGGCCTTAGGAGTGTTAATCTATGAAATGGCAGCTGGCTACCCCCCGTTCTTTGCAGATCAACCAATTCAAATTTATGAAAAGATTGTTTCTGGAAAGGTGAGTAATACATTTTATTATTCTTCTAAGATTCATTATTTCTATAATGAATTTGAAGCTTTGTGGATTGAAACCCTTTGATGTCATCACAGTAGTACCGTAAATTGAGAAAAATACAGAAATATCTATAGTTGCTGCCCTTGTATCTAGCATTCATTTAAGAGAACAGCATAAATATTAAATCTTGAAGTCTCTTAAGAAAAAAGGGCAGGGGCCAGCACGGTGGCACAGTGGTTAAGTTCGCACATTCTGCCTCAGTGGCCAGGGGTTCACCAGTTTGGATCCTGGGTGTGGACCTATGCACTGCTTGACAAGACATGCTGTGGCAGGCATCCCACAGATATAGTAGAGGAAGATGGGCACGAATGTTAGCTCAGTGCTAATGTTACTCAAAAAAGAAAAAGGGCACTTTTACAAAGAAACTAGCAAAATATATAAAGCAGTTTTCTTTTTGTAAATCACTTGCAAAACACAGGATCATAGTCCTAATTCTCAATATTCCTGCAAATAAATAAAAATTGTTAGTTGTTTTATGTGGATATATTCTTGGAGAGAAGTTTTAGGAGCTATTTTTATATGCCCTTGCTTTTTCCAGAGAGAATTCTTGTTTAAATTATGTCAAACACCACAAAATTGGAAGTAAATATAAAATAGATAAGACCTTTTTAAGATGGAAATTCATAGAAATTATGTAAACAATTGTTCATATTGATTGTGATTATAATTGTCATTGATCTTTAGCAAATATGGAAATAACATTAATTTTTCTTGAACATGAATAGATTTACTATGTCATAATCTTACATTTTGTAATTACTCTGTAAACCTTCCTTCTTTTGCATTTATAATCCCTAATTTTGTTTCCAAAGTATTTTGTTTAAAGTCAGCCACTCACTCTTCCTTTGTTCATATCTCAGATCTTTCTTAAAAATACTATAGTCAATTTTCATAGAGATGAGTCTGAGTCTTTCCACTGTGTAGCAAAGAAACAGTAGACTTTTAAAAATTCTCAGGAGGCCTTCCGTGCATTTATGATATGAGAAGTGATGTTTTCCTTATTTTCCCTTTTTCCTTTGCCTACATGTACACTCTGTTAGTGTCTTTTTTTTTTCTTTAGATCACACAGCCCCATTTAGAATTTGACCAGGAAACAGAGCATCAGTCTTGACATGACATTACCCTAAGATGTGATGTAATTGACTTTTTCGTATTTTGTGACCTTTGACAGGGATTAGCCTAATCAACCTAAAGAACCTGGAAGGAGAGAGAGGAAGTCTTTCTTTGTTATTTCAGCCAGGTTCATGCTTTACATTTAGTGTGAAAGCCGACCCTCAGCATCCATGAACTTAAAATTTAAAATGTCAGCTATTCAGAACCTGAAGGTCCATAATGTAGTAATTTATCATTTTCACCAAGACCCAGATTTCACTGCTGCATAGCTGAGCTGTAGGAACAAAGCACCAATAGAATGCGTCTATTTAGCCACCTAGAATCCACATCTCAACACAGTATTGTTCCGTATCTCCTAGTGCATATGCAGTCTACAGGGATCACAGGATTTTCAGTTATATTTTACTGCATTTTATGGGGAAAGTTTTATGTTAAGGCAGTATTCACAAATTAGGGGATTAACTAAAGAATATATACATAACTATGTCAAAGGTAAAAAGTAAATACCTCTTACAGATAACTAAGTTAGGTGTTGATTTACACTAAGGTAATACAGAAAGGCAGAATGAAATATTTAGGTCATTAGGCATCACTTCTGCCCTTGTTACACTTGTAGATCTCTAGGCTTCAGGTTTCTTATCATTCTAATTGTTTTCACATTGCAGAATGTTAAAGTCACAGTAAAAGAACTTTTGAGATGAACAAAAAGATCAAAAAAAATTAGTAGACAAGGCAGTAATTTATTTTTTAAGAATTTGAGAAGTGATTATATAAAATCTCAAGAGAGAATAAGAATGAAAGGTCATATGAAGAGTGATGAGAAAACTAAAATACTTTAAAATCACTGAATGAGAGAAGCGCATAGTCCCCCCTTACCTGCAGTTGCACTTCTACGGTTTCTGTTACCACAGTCAACCATGGCCGGGAAGCAGATGATCTTCCTCCTGACATCTTGTCAGAAGGTCAGTAGTAACCTAACACTACCCCCTATGTCTCCATCGCTCACCTCACTTCATCTCATCACATAGGCGTTGTATCATCCAGTGCAGTAAGACATTTGGAGAGAGAGACCACATTCACATAACTTTTATTACAATATATTGTTATAATTGTTCTATTTTATTAGTAGTTATTGTAATCTCTTACTGTGCCTGCTTTGTAAATTAAACTTAGGTATGTATGTATAGGAAAAAACATGGTATGTTTAGCATTCAGTACTATCCACAGTTTCAGGCATCCTCTGGGGGTCATCAAATGTATCCCCTGATGATAAGGGGTAACTACTGTATTTTACGAATACAGAGACTAAGAATGCAGAAATTATAGTAATAGTTTCAAATAATTTAATGACAGGTAATTACAAAGTTCCTAAATCTTTACTATATTGCTTTTAGTTAAACTTAACTTCATAAAAGGAATCAAATTTTCTGACAAGGATGCTGTCATAACTAGATTTCATTTGCTTAGAAAAATTGCTTTAGTTAAAGTGAATATATCTTCATCTGTACGAATTGGCCTTTGTTTGCCAATCATTCTACATTGTGTAAAATTCTTTTCAGCCGTTTATGAAATATGTTTATTTCATATCAAGCTTTAACATTTATATCCAATATTAGCTTAAAATTTAAATCTGCATATATTCTAAAATCTTCACAGTTTAAATCCTACTTACCTTAAAAAGTACAACATAAAATTTTATCGTCACAAAATCTGATTTTTTTCTTCATTTACATAGAAATATGATAAGATGTTTGGTATACTATTGTTTTTAACTAAACATGCCAGATTATCTTTCCCCACAGTGGACATAAAGTTATTTTCATCCATTGTTCCCTTTACTCATTTAAAGTAGAATCATGAAAGCAGAACATTGCTATTAAGTGATCACTAGGATCTGTATTATGTGAACATAAATCATTTTTACCATTTCCCAATAAAACCATCTGTTTCAACACTCACAGCCAAACTAGAATGTATCTCTATCCACATTACAAAAATATTATTGTCTCTCTGGTCACTAGCTAAAAGCCAAATTGGAGACGAACTAGTTTTTAAATTTTTTTAGTTGCTTAAAAATCCAATTTTGTTCTTACAGACCCTATATTTGTATTTAAAATTTTTAATCATTTTAATAATACAATATATCATTTACAAGTATATTTTCATTCAGAATTGTTTTTACTTATTTTTTTAAAAGCATGTTATTTTATGCAACATTTATATTGATTATATTTCCTATCCTGAAACGTGTTATAAAGATTATGCATATCAGTGACTTATCAAAGTTAAAATATTTAACAAAGTTACTAATTCACTAAAGTACATATATTTGAACATTAGGTTAAGTACTTTCTCTATTACAATATTTTAACTCAAGCTGGTATTTTTAAATGCACAGATAGTTGATCAATCAGCTTGTTAGATTCTCTCCTACACATATTGTGCCTTTTAAAAAACAGAGGAGGTGGTATTTAAATGTCAAATTATTCATACAATATTAAGGTTCAGCTTTAGAAATGCATAGTTGACAGAAAAGTCTTATAATTCTTGTATTAACTATGCCTCATCCTAGCAATACATATGCTGAGTTTCTGTATATAGTCTTTAAATTTCATACCTCAGTGCCATATACTCTATGACAAGAATCAGTTATGGTTTCCACAGCAACTCTATCTGGCTGCATTACTCTTAGAAATATAAAAGTTAATATTGTGTTCAAAAATGATACTTGCAAATAAGGCAGTCAAGTAACAGCTGTTGTGGAAATAATAACTTTGGAGTCCTTATGTAATTTTAAAAATTCCTAGCTTCATTATATATAAAGTAAATATTATTCCACTTTTAATGAGCACCAAAAATGTGCACTGAGACACTATACTCAATATAAAGTTGTAAACATATATATACACAGAATGATCAAAGAGTCAGTTAATTTTTTCCTGAAGAGAAATTCACATTCACATGAAGGGTGATTGATTAGCAGCCAAATGGCTGTTCCCCTCTGTGTCCTGGGTCCCCAAGACTATTCCCAGGTTAGGTGATTCACTAGGAGGACTGACAGAGTTCAGCATATAGTAATGCTCAAGGAACAAATACCTTACCTTGTCACAAGTACCTTCATGGTAAGGTACCTTACCAAGAAGGATATAAAGCAAAATCAGCAAAGAGAAAAGGCACGTGGGGCCATGTCCAGAGAAAACCAGGCACAAGCTTCCAAGAGTCCTCCCAGTCTCCACAGGGGAGGCACTTAATTCATCCGTCAACAAGCTGTGGCAACATGGATGCAATGTTGTCCATCAGGGAAGCTCATTAGAGACTCAGCGCCCAAGGATTTTATTGGGATCGCATATGCACCCTCTACCTAGCACATACCAAACTCCCAGACTCCCAGAACAAAAGCAGATGTTTATTAGAAACCATATTGTTTGTACAAACAGTGTGGGTACAGTGAGCCCCTCGTATTGTTTAGGGAAAGTTTCACATCAGTGTGAAGAACTGTTACTATTCCAGTTCCCAGATACCTGCCAAGGGCCAAACTTGCAAGCAAGCCTTTCTTAAGGGTAGCAGTCTCAGGCCTGCTGTATTATCTCCTTTCTGCACATGTTCTGTTTCCTTAATAACGTGCACATGCGCAGATGTACCACTATACTTTTTCTAAAATGCTATTGTTAATGCTTTTCAGGAAATTAAAATGCCATTTTCTGTTTGGCTATGGCTATAGTTAAAGAGACTTAGAGAACTCAGTAGTCATTTTCATAAAATACAAAAGCAGTTTTACCATTTGCATAAAACCCAGGGCTTTTTGTTAATACCTTGCTGTGATCATTTAA